CCGCGCAGGCCGGGGGGCGGGGGAGCAGCTTTTCTCGCCCCGGAGTACACGGGCGGCGGGACCGTGAGGTTCCGCAGTCCGTGTCCTCCGGGGCGAGAAAAGCCCCGTTCGTAACTGCGGATCCGACATAAGTCGGATCCGCGTAAGTCGGGGACTGCCTGTACAGTGTCATTCTTAGATCTGGATTGCTGTCTCTTATGGGTGCTTCCTGCCTTGTACTCTGAACAGGAACCAAGCAGCTGGACTTACCTGGGGGAAAATGGGAGTGGGCAGGGGGACACAGAACTGCTGCCAGAGGGAGGGAAGGTGTTGGGGACACAGAACTACGGGCTGCAGAGGATTTTTTTAAAAGCAGCCCAGCAAAACATTTGGCTGCCGCCGGAGAGAGGGAAGGGGCGAGGGGCAGGGAACTCAGAGCTCCTTGGCCGGCTGCCTAGGCTTTTTTTAAAGCAGCGTCCACTCTCCCCCAACCTCTGTTCCCCCCACCAGCTTACCTTTTCCCACTTCCAGACACAGCGTCAGGAGCACTCTGGAAGAAGTACCTCATTAGTGCAGGGTTGCAGGCATGCTGCTGCACATCTCTACTAACGAGGTGGGTGGGTCTTAAATTCTTCCTGTGCGGCTGCGCAAGTGCGCAGCCTGCAGGGAACTATGACAGCCCCCCCACACACACCGTGCCCTCGCCCTCTGGGAGGCACCATGCCCACAAGCTGTGAGAGCCAGTCACAGGAGACATCAGTGTGCTGGTGGCAGGAGACAGGCAAACAGAATCGCTGCCTGAAGCCTTTCACCAGCCCTCAGAGCCACAGTTCAGGGCATGGGACAGCCGAGTCTTTAACCACAAACCCTGTGTCAAGGGCTGAGGCAATGCATCTTCCACAGAGCTCCTGGCTCTCTGGCCTGCAGGAGCTGCCCCCAGGGGAAAGGCGAGGCAGGACAGGGAGAGCCAGGCTGTGCAGCCCTGCTGAGCTCAGGTGCAAAGTAGCTGTGCAATGCAGAGTCTGTGTCCAAACTGACATGGGCAGGCAGCAGCATCCCCTAGCCAGAGCCGGGGGGTGTGGGGGTGGGGGGGATGCACACATATGCTGATCCCCACCCACACACACACACGTTGATGGACAGAGACACCTTCAGAGCCAGCTGCAGCTCAGCCGTCCCAGGTGCGCAGCTGTCACTGCCAGCGGATGGAGAATCCTTGGCTGAGCTTGAGGTTGAGGTGGCTCACAGTGAGAACCTGTGGGACAGGGAGAAACTCGTGCTCAAGGCCATGCAGTGCGCAACACGGGGCTGGGCTGGACACATGCTGGCAGCCGCAGCAGGAGCCATGCTGCTACCTGACGTGTTGGCTGATGGTCTGGGGGGAGCAGCGGACTTGTGCTAAGCAGGGTGTTGAATACGGGATTACTGGTACTCAAGTGAGTTCAATGGCAACCAATGCGAACACAGCAGTACGCACTAGCCAACTAACACCAAGCTGACTGAGCCCCTCTTAAACAAACACAGCGTAGCTGGATTCTTTTTATTCACCTTTGTATCTTTCAGGCTGTTGGGTTCACACAGGGCGAGGGACACACAAACACTCCCACACACCTCTCTCACTCCCACCAACCAACCTCGCCCTCCCTGGCTTCCCTGCTGCAGTGAAGCCGCCTCTCTGGGAGGGGGGCTAGCGTGTAACCTGCAGTGGTGGGGGACGGGCTGACACGAACTGGAACAGCCAGCTACTCGGGGAGGACAGAGAGCTGCTCCCGCCCCTACTGGTTAACTGGAACCAGTAAGATTCACCTATTGACAGCGAGGCTTACCGGTTAACCATTTACATCCCTAGTGGACAGCAGAGGCGACCAGCTGCCTTCTGACACCTGCTCACACTCACCAGCCTCTGCTACTGGCAGTGTTCAGTCAGCAGGTGGGAAATGGGTCGGCAGGGGGGGCTTGCTGGCCGACAGCTGGCATGCGGCGAAGGCTACCCTGATGGTTGTCCCATCACCAGCTTTGCGCACCCACCGCTATTGTCAACCCTGAGCCCCCCCCACTGACCGCTTGTGGGCAGGCAAGGCCAGATCAGACCAGCAGCAGAACCCTGAAGTCTTGGTGTGGGGAGACAGAAAGATATGGGACAATTTGCCTGTTTTTAAGAAAAAAAATCGGGATGCTTCCAAGAGGGCTTAAATACAGGACTGTCCCTTTAAAAACAGGATAGCTGGTCACCCCAGTGCTATCGGGCAGGGCAGAGTGACGGGTTGAAACAATCTCAACATCTGTACCTGCCCACTCAATGAGCACCTCCAAGCGCTGTGCAAACAATGAGGGGCCCATAGGCTAGCTCCCTGGGGCACAACGAGCAGAGCAGCGCAAGGAATGGAACCCCAGCACCCTGACTCCTGCTTTCTGCTCTAACCACTATCAGCCCTCCCCCACTCCACAGCTCAGCCTAGGCTAGGCTTTCCCTGACTCCCACGCTAGCCACTAACAGCCTCTTCCCCTCTCCCGGTTCCTCCGCTCCACACGCAGGCCCAGTTCAGAGCAGGGAGCAGCGCCAGGCATTCGGGGTAACCCCCTGTCTGGGGGCTCACAGGGCAGAGTCAGCAGAGTGAGGCCCCCTGCCAATGGACGGCAAGGAGGCGGCTGGAGTGCCCACCCCTCTGCACCTCACAGCCAGGGGCAGAGAGCCTGAGAGTGGCACAATGGGCGCCACGGGACAGACGCGTGACCCTGCGAGAGCGAGAACAGAGAGCAGGGAAGGAACCAGGCATCACTGGGCAGAAGGGGGGCACACTGGGCGCTGGCAGGGGAAGGAGCAGGGAAGGGGCGCACTGGTCATTGCTGGGGGAAGAAGCCGGGTGTCGCTGGGTTGGGGAGGGGCACACTGGGCACTGGAGGAGGAAGGAGCTGTGGTGTCACTGGGTGGGGACGGGATGCACCAGGTTCTGGTGGGGGAAGGAGCTGGGCATTGCTGGCCAGGGGAGGGGCGCACCAAGCGCAGGCAGAGGCTGAGTTACCTGGTTGTCCAGATAGGAGAAGGGATTCTCTTTGCCATTGACAGTGACCCTGCTGGGCTCGTCCCGGACCCCATAGACTGTCAGTGTATCCACAGTGATGTAGGTGGCTTCCACGTTGGCGTGAAGGACAGTGGAGGTGAAGACGTTCTAGGCGCGATGAGGCGAGGTTAGGGATGTGAAAGAGTAAACGTGTACATGGGTCACGGTTACATGCAGCCCCCGCCCTTCCTTGTGCTGCTGCCTCTTTATCAGCAGCAGCGCAGGGGAGGAGGTGGGAGCCAGTGCATGTGTGGAGCCAGCTTTTAAGCCACAGTCAGAGCACCCTGGCCTGCTCCTCAGGAAAGTCCCAGCCCTCCACTGCTCCTGTGGGCTGCTCCCTGCCACCCTCCCACGCCTTTCAAACCCAGGCTGTCCCGCCCCCAGGCCTTCAGGCACTGAGATCTGCACACTGAGCCCAGCACACTCCCACAGAGGGCACCAGCTCCCGGCCTGATCCCAGCTCCCCGGCTGGCCAGCCCCAGTGTTCGCAGCCCGTCAGGCGGGAGGGAGCAGCACCAGGCGCTCTGGGTAACACCCTGACTGGGGGCTCGGCGGGCTGGGCCAGATGCTCTACCACCTGCACCCCCACAACGGGCCAGGTGTCAGGAGCCAAAGCAGGGCTGTGACTCTGCAGGGTGGGGGCCGCCTACCTGCGTGACGTTGAACACCAGGTAGGAGTAGGCGCCCTTCTCAAAGGTTTCCAGGCTCTCGCCATCGTCCCAGAAGAGGTCCCCCCAGGCGCTGGCGTTCTGGGACAGGGCCGCGATCAGGCGTAGGGGGTTCCTGCTGCTCACCCAGCTGGTGCTCCCGGGTTTCTGAGGTTCGAGAGAGCAGGTGGGAGCAGGCACCCCACTGAGGGCCCCCACTCTGCGGTAGAAGGCTGCGCTGGGGCAGTGAACAGGCCACAGAGTGCACCCAATGGCCCTGCCCCTGCCCTCCCATCGCTTTCACAGCAGTTTGCACCCAGGGAAGGAGGCTCAGGACAGCTCCTGACCCAGAACCATGAGGAGCATCACGTCTTCAGCTGTATTCTGGGCAGGGCGGTGTCCAGGGCAAGGCAAGCGACTCTCCTGATGTGCCCTGGAGCAGGGCCACAGTAGCTGGGATCTGGCGTGTGGGACGAGGGTTATTCCTGTGCCCCGGGGTTTCACAGCAGTTTGCACCCAGGGAAGGAGGCTCAGGACAGCTCCTGACCCAGAACCATGAGGAGCATCACGTCTTCAGCTGTATTCTGGGCAGGGCGGTGTCCAGGGCAAGGCAAGCGACTCTCCTGATGTGCCCTGGAGCAGGGCCACAGTAGCTGGGATCTGGCGTGTGGGACGAGGGTTATTCCTGTGCCCCGGGGTGCAGCATGGGCTCCCCCCGCCCCAAGGCAGCAGCCCCCTCTCAGGCCTGCCAGGCTGCACGTTGCTACCATAACACTCAGGGACCCCAAAGTAGTGGTGAGCCCTGGCCACAGAGCACAACCCCCACAGGCCAGCTGATGGGGTGGGGGCAGGAGGAGCGGCCTTACCTGGGTGGGGAGAATGGCACCCTCTCGGACGTGCAAGTTGATGTGGTCCAGCGGAGCGGCCATCTTCAGGCTCTCCCCACTGCTGTTCACAGAGGTGCCCTGCGGAAGCAGTGACAGACATGCGGGGCGTGGGCAGGGGGAGAGGCCGTCTGCCCACAGGTCTGAAGAACTACGACTCTTGAGGCCACGGGCACCAGCCAGGGCCATATCCACTACATACATGGGTCAGGGGGAGCACAGGCCACAGGCCCTGGCCCTCTTACACACCACAGGCCATGGGCAGCAATGTGTTCCACACCCACCACACACACGACATGGGCAGTGCAGTGATGGGCACTAGCCCAGGGCTCATACGCACACAAAGCAGGGGAGACAGAGGCAGGAGCACAGACCCTCACAGGGTAGGGGGAGCGCAGACGTGTGGTGGGCAGAGGCAGGGACATGGACACGCACAGGACAGAGGGAGCACGGGGGTGCACAAGGAGAACAGAGGCAAGAGCACACGTGAACAAGGCAGGGGAATGCAGATGTGCAAGGGCAGGAAGGCATGCTCAGAAACAAGGCAGTGGCCCCAACGCCTTCCCAGCTGTCTCTGCGGGTGGCGGTGGTGCCCACTTGCTGATCTGTGGGTGACTGATTAGGATGCACCTGGAAGCCCTTCCAAACCTCCTGCTCCCCTCAATGGCCAAGCCCAGAGGCCAGGCCAGGCCAGGCAGCTACGGTGAGGTCCCATCCTGGGGAAGAGCAGACAGGAGGGGCAAGTCAGGGTGCACCGGCACCTCCTGCCCCACCCCCTCTGCTGCAGGAACGGAGGCCTGCTCTGGTTTCTGACGCAGGTGACACCCTGGCTGCTTTCACAGGCTGCTGTCAGGTGAGGAGCCCTTTGCAGCTGGGGTCCCACTCTCCCTTGGGCAGGGGAAAGCAGAAACTCCCCCTTGTCCCACTCCCAGCATGCTCTGCTCCTTACCGTGTAGTAGTCGTACCACACTCCCCTGGGGAAGTAGCCAGTCACCGAGTCCACTCCAGGCTCCAGCACAGGTGTCACCAATAGGCTCCGCCCCCACAGGAACTGCTTGTCAATCGAGTACGTGATCTCGTCCTGTGGAAACCTACAGCGAGAAGAGGGCACCTCAGAGCTGATCCACTGACCTCTGGGCCCTGCAGCCTGAACCGGGCCAGTGCCCCCTGGCCATAGCACAATTGCTCCCCATTCTCCGCTTGCTCCACTGCCCCACTGTGGGGGTGGGGTGGGGTGGGGTGGCTGCTGTAGATTAGTGGTACCACAGGCTGTGGCTTCGTGCCTGCTTGTAGGTCCATAGCATCAGCTTTCATGGCTCCTGTCTTTGGGGAAGAGTGGAGAGGCCCAGGAGGAGAATGGCAGTGGGCTGTGCCCAAGAGAGAGAGAAGCTGGCCTGCCTGCCTGCCTGCCAGAGGCTGGGGGAGATGCCCCCTGTGGGTCGTCAGTGGGGCAGGAAGCCATCCACCCCAGTGAGACGAGTTTCTTACTCAAAGAACAAGGGTCGAGCCACGGTGTGGCCCTGCAGGTGCGCCCGGTGGGTCAGCAGCACCTCTTTCATGGCCGTCCGCACCACCGAGCTGAACGCCGCCGGATCCTGGGCCTGGGCAGTCCAGACAACGAGAGTGTCAAGAGGCAGGACAGACGGACAAACAGGCTCTACGACCAACACTCCTTTGCCCCCTTCCATCAGCCACCCTCCCTCTGTGCCCTGCTAGCTGTGACCTCTTCCTGCTGCTGTGCGCCCCATCCCCATGCTAATGCAGCCCTCTCAAGAGAACATCAGCCCTGGAGCCCAACCCGGGTGCTCCCATCCTTCGGTGTTACCTTGTCATTCAGGTAGTTGTGGTTTCGGGCGAAGGGGTAGAAGGCCCCCAGCTGGGTCCAGCGGGTGCACAGCTCCTCCGTGGTGGTGCCCGAGAACCCACAGATGTCTGCCCCAACCAGCGGGATCCCAAAGAGATTGAAGTTCAGCACCCCTGCAAAAGAGACATGGCGTCCAGGAGGAGCCAGGGACACCAGGAGGGCATCTGCCCCGACCGGACTAGGCCCAACTCTCCGACCGATGCTCTCTGCCTTGTGCACACTACAGCACGAACACGGCTGGGGATGTGCCTGCATCTCCCCCACCGCAGGACCAAACCACGGCCACGCTGCCTGCAAGCGGACAGGCTGCCCCCCCCCAGCCACTCCTGAAGTGGCAGTGGCTGGGAGCAGACTCCAGTCCCAGGGCTGCCCTCCCAGATGGCAACTGTTAAATGAAGGAGCCGCTGCCCAGCGCATGTGAAGGGAGGAGCCATCACAACCAGGGAAGATGCAGGCCAGGCTGAGGGTGATTCTGTCCCCAGTGGGTGAAGGCTGGTACCTATGGGAGGCTTGCCTGTTGCTGGGAGAGTTGCTCACCTGGGATTGACCAGTACATGTCCGACCACTTGCTCCTGTTGTCACCAAGCCAGTGCCCCGAGTACCTGCCCTGGCTGGGGAAGGTGGAGCGAGAAATCACAAATGGGCGTTTCCCTCGGATCTGGATCAAGGCGCTGGAAGACAAGGAGGAGATTTGGGCACCAGGAACAGGCAGGAGCAGCTGTGAGACTCAGAGCACAGCCAGAGACAGCTGGAGAGGAACTCCCCCAACTGGACTAGGCCCAACTGCGACTGTGGGTAACAGCCAGTTCTTGCCCCATGTCTAGTGCAGCTTTAAGACCCAGCCATAGCCCAGTGAGATGTGGGAACCGCTCGAGGAAACAACCATCCCAGCCTCGTCCTTAGCAGCTGCATGAAATCCAAGAGGAGGACACAGGGCTCAGGCAGTGCCAGTACTTCTCTGGTGCAGACCCAGGCTCCATGAACCGATGAGATGGGGATGATCTCTCTTCACCAACCCCAGGACTTGTGACTCAACACCCCCACTCCCCATGGGCTGTGAATACAGCGTGGGCAGCTGGAATGTTTCGTCCTGGGTGGGGGCTCACACCCAGCCTGGAGTCAGTGCTCTGGGAACAGGCCAGCCCCCTGTGGGCAGGATGCCTCGTGCTAGCGTCTCGGACACAGTTCTGAGGCGCCGTTCATTGAAGCAGGGTTTGAACTGGCTCCCTGGAGTTGCGGGGCTAACACATGCTCACCAAGCACCAGCCATTACCTAGCTGTGGCTTTGGCTTCCATCAGCCCGTAGAGGTTGTGCAGGTTGTAGTGCACAGAGACTCTCTGCTTCGCTGAGGCACACGTGGTCTTTGACGAGAGGGACCCGCCCAGCACAGCTGAGGGGGAGGGAGAGAGGCTGTGAGAAGTGTCATGCAGCACGGAAGCCAGCAAACACCTGCACCCAGATACAGTCCCCTGCACCTCCTCACTCTGGGCCAGATCACCAAACTGCTCATGTGGTACAAGGGGGCTAGATTCTGGCCGCAGGCAGCCAGTGAATCATTTCCTGCCAGAGAGGAGCCCATAAAGCCATCTGAATGGGGTTCTTGGGCCAGCTGTTCCCCTTTGTGGGCCTCCTAATGGTTAGGTTTCTTAGTCAACGTTTAAGGGCTAGACCTGGCCATGTAGGTGTCTGAATAGAGAGTTAGCTGCCTGTGTTTGCAACCTGAGCCCCTGTGCACAGCCCGTAGTGCTGGAAATTCAGTGCCAAAGGCATGTCAGAGAACACAGAGCACACATGCATGTACACTTACACGCCTGGACACACGCAGGCAAACAAACCAATGATGTAGGCAGGTCCCGCTCCCAGCAGCTCCACCTGCTTACACCAGCACAGCCTGCATTTTGTCTCCCTTCTTACCAGGCACGTAGGGAGGGTTATCGAATTCTCCCCAGGGACAGCCATGTACCGACCCGTCCTTGAAGTTGGATGGTTCGTTCATGTCCTAGACAGAGAACGTGAAGTCAAAATGTCATTCACAGGGTTTCAGCGGGTCTCAAGCTGGGAGTGGATCTCTTCTCAGACACCAGACACTGCTCACCCGCACCCATATGGGACTAAGCACGTGGCCAAAGCAACAAGGAGTCAGGGGGGCTGCTCCATGGCTGTCCTTCCTTGAGCCATTCAGAGCTGGGGTACTAACTCCACCCCCTGGACTTGGGAAGTGAACTGTGTCATTGGTCCCGGCCTGTTAGCCTCCAGCATGTTCAGTACCTAGAACAACATGCAGCCTCGCTCCCTTTCATCCAGCGCAATGAAACCTCCCCTTGGACACACACTACACATGCCTCCCAGGGCCTTTGTGCCTTCAGGGACACAGCACTCGTCAAGGACAAGGGAACTAGAAAAGCAGGAGCTCAGAGAGGTCCAAAAGCTTCAGGAATCAGTGAGACATACCCGAGGCTGGGGGGAAGGCGAGGGAGCAGCTTGGGAAACGCCGGCCTTTGGAGGTCAGGCCCAGCAGAGTTAGGGAGGGACTTACGATCCAAAGCCCATCAAAGGGGACGAGAGCGTGGAAACGGTTCAGGTTCTCCAGCCACCACTGAGAAGTGTCCGGGTTGGAGAAGTCCGGGAAAGCCGTGAGGCCAGGCCACACCTATGGAAAGGCCAGAAAAAAAACACATCCTGTGAACCAATCATCAGCCACCTGCACCAGGGAACGCGGCATTCAAGGAATCACAGCCTCCGGTACACCTGCACACTGAGCCGGCCCGGCCACAGGACGATTCAGGGTGGGTGCCCCTGGCCCTGTGCTTTGGGACCCAGTGCAACGCAAGGGAGTGGAGCAGAGCAGGCTGGGGCTGGGTTGCTCCATTTCCAACCACTGTGGTGAAGCAGAGCAACTTGGCAGGGAGATGGCGGCTGGGTCGCTCTGCTTCCGGTGGCTCCTACCACTGCAATTAGCGGTGGCCTGACCTCCGCTGCCCCCTGTGCCACTTCCCTCGGCAATCGCCTGGGTCGCAATGCTCGGGAGAGGGGAATGCAGGGAAGGGGTGCAATGGGATGGGAGAGGGCGGAGGAGGGGCAGGGTATAGGGCTGTCAAGGGCCCCGCACTCCTCTAGAGATGGCCCTGCCTGTAAAGATGACAGTCCAGCCATCCTTCGTCTATTAATCCACCACTGACCTTCCTGTTGCTGGAGCCAGGGCCTGAGCCTGGTCAGCTTTTGGAATTCCACCTTCCCCCATGTAGAAATGGTGGGATTTAAAAATGCAGAGGGAGAACAGGCAGCTGAACAGCCCCTTCGATTGTTCAAGTTCAGCTGAACACCCGCAGGGGCCACTGGCTCTGATGGCTTTTCAAGAGATGGGGCCTGATTCTTCCCTGCCTTGCACGCTGCATAATTATTCCCAGTTACGTCAAGTGCGCACAAACCAGGAGTGAAGAGTCTGGGTTTCATAGCGCAGGCCCATCATTTTTAGCTTGTCAATCATACGTTTTTCAAATTTTCTTAAAGTACTTGAGAGAGAGAGCGCTGCCCTTAACTGATAACACAGGAATGAGAAGTCACAGTGGGCTGTACGGATGTTAGATTTCGTGCCATTTAGTAATCATGAAGCTGCAACCATGTTTATCGGTTACACGGTTTCTAAAATGGTTCCCGGAGATGGGGACGGGACCCAGTACGCTCCCAGACCCACTTCCGGGGAGCCCCTGCCACCCACACTGCTGCCTCTGATACATGGGGCAGCAGCAGCCCCTGTCTGCAGGGATCTGAGCACCCTGCGGAAAGAGGCTGTCCCGGCATCCCACAGAACAGCCTCGGTCTGCGAAACATCTGGGCTCGCAGCAGCGCAGGTTGGGGGAGGCAGCTCCGTGGAGCCAGTGCTCAGGGGAACCCAGCTTTCAATCCGGCTCCCCCAAGCTCCAACTCCCACCTGTCCCCCTTACTGCTGTCTCTGTGGAAGGCAGTGGGGGGGGGGGGGGGGGGGAGGCCGAGACAGGTGCTCTGCAGGAACCGGCACAAGTCTGGAGCTGGCTTAAAAGCCGGCTTTGCACTGGCACTAGCTCCCATCTCCCCTCCTCTTGCTGCCTCTGATACAGAGGCAGCAAGTGGGTAGGGAGATGTTGCATGTAGCCATTTTGATTAACCGATAAGCCTGGGTTTATTGGTCAATCTTTTAAACGTCTATACGCTAACCTCCCTACTGGATTGTGGCTAATAAATGGAGCAGCTCCATAGATTTGCTCACCATGGGCAATTTTTCATCATTCTCGAAAGAGGGAAAAATTCAGAGACCAGACTGAGCGTTGAGCACAACACCACAGACTCTGACTACTCGCAACAACACTGATTTCCAAGGGGTTACTCTGGCATCGCACAGGAGCATGAGCAGAATCAGGTCCTCAGTATTTTCCCCACACAGCCTATTCAGGCCTCTGTCACATTAATGAAATCCCCAGTCATGTCAATGGGAGTTGCATGTGAGAGAACGAGGACAGATCAGGCCCAGAGCACAGAGGCTGCTTTACCACCATTTTTCTTATTTTCTCCTCAGCTCCACAAAGGGTAAAATCTTGGTCTCACTGAAGCGAATGGCAAAACTCCCACAGACTTCTCTGGGGGCAGGATTTCACCCAAGTTACACCCCTTCCTTACCTGTCCAATCAGTGTTTGCCCCTCGGTGGTATTTATGAATATTCCACGCCTCAAGCCTTCGTCGTAAGGCCAGTAAGAGCCAGGAGGGTTAGAGCTGCTGATCGCCGGATCCTGGAAATATGCAACCGAAGGTTACTCTCTCCCTGTCGTGTCCATGAAACCTCACCAGTATAGCCCAGTGTAACTCAAGAGACCAGACTGCTGGTCCTGGGAGCCCTGACCCACTGCACGAGGGTTGACTAAAAGTTCACATGTTACTGCCAAAGTGACCAAGAGGAACTGAAACTTGCTGTAGCATTTCCACATGTACGAAAGACTGTTGTATAAAATGTCACCTCTCGAAGGACCCAGGCCTGGACTAGAGAGAGATTGGGAGTGGGGGGAAGGGTTCGAAAGTCCCAGGACAAACAGCATCTCACAGCAATGCTGAGTATGTGGCTACCGGAACAGTAATTAGGAGAATCCTTCCCTTAGACCAGGGGTTCTCAACCTTTTCCATACTAGGACCAGACCCGCCAGTGGGGAGAGGGGCAAAGAGTGCAATTGCCAGAGGGCCCAGGGATTCTAAAGGGCCCGGGGCTCCCGGCCACCACTGCGGCTGTGACAGCGTACAGTGCCTTGGGCCCTTTAAATCGCTGCCAGAGCTCTGTGCAGCGCACTCCAGGTGGCTCTAAGGCAGTGTTTCCATGTGCCGCAAGGCAGGCAGAGGTGTGCCTTGGAGAACAGAATTCAAAATGGTCGCCCTTAAAGGGGCAGGTGCCCTTTTTTCCCCAGTAACTTTCCCCCAGACTCCTTTTTTCCCTCAATAACTTTCCCCCTGACCCTTTTTCCCCCAAACTTTTTTTTCGCTCAACAAAAAATCCTTGGTGTTCCTCATAAAAAAAAATTGTTTGGTGTTCCTCAGTCTTAAAAAGTTTAAGAAACACTGCTCTAAGGGCTGGGAGGAGCAGCATGGCACACTCCTAGTGGCACCAAGAGCTGGTTGTGTCAGCTCCACCCCTTCCATACAGGGCCACGCCACTTCCTGAGGCTTGGAGCCGCTCTCCCCGTCCACCTTGCCCAGGGGCTTGGTGTGGCTGTTGTCCCCCTGACCAGGACCCCACAATTCTATCAAGCTGAGGTCTAGATGGAATCTGCCTCAGGAGGGGCAGGGAGATGATGACCTGGTCATGACCCCAAGGCGAGTCCCCATGAATCAGACTGATTGACTGTCAACAGCAGCTCTCAGAGTCTCCTTGTGTGATTGAGACAGTGGGAGGGCTACACGCAGAGCAGACAGGAAGACAACGGGGTTATAGGGGACCTGTTGCTAGAGCTCCCCTGCAAAAAAGGGGGAAATTCCAGAGGCCCTGCCCATGGCTTCCAGCTGGGTTCTAGCACTTCTCCCAAGCAGAAGCCTGCACGAGACCCCAGCAGAGATGAAGGGAGGTAAAAAAGGTCCCATGTTCTTTTGGGCTGTTGCTCAAAGCCAGGCATCATACTTGCGAAGAGGGTCTGCGCTAGAGCCTCAGCTGGTGCAAAGCAGCTGAGACTGCACCAAAATGTATAGCACTGAAATTAACAGCAGCAGCTCATTTGGAGGGGCGCCTTACACCCCATGAGCAGCAAGTCGCCTCCTGCTCTTGTTTGCATTTGCGAGGTGAGCACATCTCACATGCTGATGCTGGCAGCATCTGCCTGAAGTTTTAGAAACAAAAACAGCCCTCGTGTATGATTTGGGCAGGGGGCCAGAGAAGTCAGTTTACCGTGATCATGACATAGTGCTGGCCGTGCTTGTGAAGGTCTTCTACCAACTGCGGGAGGGTGTCAAACTTCTCAGGCTCGTAAGTGAAGTCCCGGTACCCTTCCATGTAATCAATATCGTTCCACTGCGCATCCTGCAAAGAAGAGAGGCAGAACCGGATGGCATGGAAATATCTCTGCGGTGCCTCCTTGCCTCCCCTGGACAGCGGGCATTTCTTTTACCTGCGGTATCTGATAATTCCTCATGGCTTTCACAGTCTGCCAGGTTTCATTGCTGGTCCCATAGCCCCAGCGGCACAGATGAAACCCCAGCCCCCAGAGAGGTGGCATGGCAGGGAAACCTGGAGCAACACAATTGGAATGGAGACAATGATGGACCTGACAATCCCCAGGGAGGGGGTAATAAGCAGGACAATTCCAGAGGGGGAGGCTCTGGTGGAGATGAGGAAGAGAAAACACCCCCAGTGGCAGAGGACATCACAATGAATCTAGTGAGACAGGGCTTCTGGGATAAATGTGACAGTGATGGCAATAAATAGAGATCCTGGGCATCCCTAAGCATACAACGGGCTGGTTATGTGATGGACTGCACAGAGCATGGCCACGGTATTGGTATTTACCTATCACCTGGTGGTACTGCTGGATGACCATGTTGGGATCAGGACCCAAGAAGATGTAAAAATCCAGGACTCCTCCAATGGTTCTCCAGGTCAAGGCAGGTGCTGGCTGCAGAACCACCTCTTTGGAAAGGAACAGAACAAAGACAATGAAACAGTGATCCAATGGCTAAAGAATGAAACAAGGGCTCAGGAATCCTGACTTCCAGTTGTGACTGTTCCACAGAAAAATGTGACCATCGGCACAAATGTGTCTATACCCTCCGTACCTCAATTCCCCGAATAGTGGCACCTCCCTATTGCACAAGGGGTTCTGGAGACTTAAAGGCTGCTGCATGCTTTGATATGACCAGATCTCAGGTGGAACAGAAGTACAAAGGCTAAAAAAAAGGGTTCCCTGTATACATTGGGGTTACATTCATGAAAAGGGCAATGGACACTGAAATGAGGTATACCAGGGAGTTTTTCCCCATAAAAAAAATAATGAAATAAGGGGAAATGCATTACCAGCTTCACCACACTGGCCTGTGACAATGCGCTTTTTGCCTAAACAGTGTACCTTGTTACAAAGACAGGGTACCCAGCACACACTTTACACATAAAACATTGAATAATAATGTAGAACCCTACTAACACTGTTCCAACACATAGGGCATTTTAACAGATTACAGTAATTATAAATTATGCTAAATTTAAGTAGTGGTGGCAACTGGGTTTTCTTGGACTGGCTTTTCAGTGGCTGGTTTTCTGGTTGCAGAAGTCCTTACAAAGGATTTTATTGATGTCTGCTTTACTGCGTGAATCTTTGAACGATAGGTCTCCCTGTAGCAAGCCATTGCATCACTGAGAGCCCTGGAGGCTTTGGCAGACAGTTCACAAAACGGATCACTGCTCTGTATGATTTTCATCTCACCCAGCAGTCCAAAAAAACGGAAGAGCTGTTAAATGTTGGTTAATTGAACAGTCAAATAATCTCATGAATTCTTATCGGTTACTTGACTATTCTATAGTCCCCAGTGGCACTCCGGCCCCACTCCCGAGGAGCCCCCTGCCACTGTGCCTCTATCAGAGGCACAGTGCGGGGTATCAGGTGGGACCTGGTCTGTGACGGGAGCCATTTTAAAAACCAACTCCCCTCGCAGACCGGCTGCTTTTTGCCCCACGCTGCTGTTTGGGGTGAAGGGTGGTACTGAGCTCCAGGACCTGGCACAAGCTGGAACTGAGCCGGCCTGCCTGGCTCCTAATACACTTTAAATGCAGAGCCGCAGTGGGGGTAGATCCTGGACCCGGCGCAAGCCAGGACTGATCCAGGCTGCTGGCCAGCCTGCTAAAAATTTACTGGCAGGGGGGTGAAGGGTGGGAATGTGTGTAGTCTATAGCATTAACCAATAAGCTTTTGCATCCCTTCTCTACATTATTGTAATCATCGCCCTTGCTTTCTTCAGATCTCCATTCCTCATTAGTTAATCGTTCAACGTGAGATTCCAACAACTCCTGTACACCATCTTCCTCAAAGCCAATATCCTTCACCACCGTCACAATTTCTTGCTTGAGAGCAGGAATCGCATCAAATCCCAGATGCTGGGGACAGCATCTGGCCATGCACGGTGCAAAACACCATTAATGTATTGCAAAGTAACCTCTTCCCACAATGCATCAATGCTTTCCATGCCATTCAAGATGTTATAGAACTCCCAAAACACCTTTACACCGGACTTTCCTTCATCTGTCGTCTCCTTAATCAGCATGGAAAATGTGGCTGATGGACGCAATTCCAGATGCTGGGGACAGCATCTGGCCATGCACGGTGCAAAACACCATTAATGTATTGCAAAGTAACCTCTTCCCACAATGCATCAATGCTTTCCATGCCATTCAAGATGTTATAGAACTCCCAAAACACCTTTACACCGGACTTTCCTTCATCTGTCGTCTCCTTAATCAGCATGGAAAATGTGGCTGATGGACGCAAGTACAGTATGTACTGCACAATAGGGGAACGTGTTCCAATTTATATTGGTCCCAATCAGTGCAAACGACAGATATGTGGATCAGGTCCAATGTATACTGGACCACATTCCCCTAGTGATGAGCGATGGATATCCAAAACAATGGATATGGGGCACCCCCTGCATTACAAAATCTGTTTCCTAGACCTAAAAAGTGTGGCAGTCTCACAGTTCTCACAATTCTGTCAGGGTGGTTAAACACTGGAATAAATTGCCTAGGGAGGTTGTGGAAAAGCAGGTTAGATAGACATCTGTCAGGGATGGTCTAGACGATGCTTGGTCCTGCCATGAGGGCAGGGAACTGGACTCGGTGACCTCTCAAGGTCCCTTCCAGTTCTAGTATTCTCTGAGTCTATGATTCTACAGCTTCCGTTCCAGACCTAAGCCCAGTAGCGCTTTCTGTCTCTGTAGCATAGAACCCATTCCACAGCTCGCAGGAAAGAAGTATAAATGAAAAGCTGTGTGTGTGAGCGAGTGTCTACAGGACGCAGGGCTTTGCGGGGAGGAGCACGTTGAATGTGTGAGTTCTTACACCTCTGATACAGGCAGGTTTTCACAGCACTTCTCTGCACAGTTATTCTTGGGAGATCTATGGCAATAAAACTTGCACAACTGGAATGAATATAGCACTGCTGTGAGGCGCCTCTTAACCTCAGGCTTAGTGCCAGATGGTTCTAACAGGGCACTGGTGCAAAGAACCTTATGGCGTCTGTGTCCTTGCTGGCATTGGCCTAGCATTACCATCAGGAAGCCTACCCTGCCCAAATCCTGGCTGGTACTAAAATGCCATCAGTGAGAGGATGCTCTTGGTTCTGTAGTCCCACCTGGCACGGACAGGCTGCTGCTTTATAGCAGCTCCCTGTGGAAGCCACAGCTGGCATCAGCAGGATACAACTGTGAAACAAGCAGCCAGCAGATTTATATCCCTGTCTGACCCAGAAGTCACACTCTGCACATCGTTAAAGTGCAGTTCTATTGCAGAAGAACAGGGAACAGGGCTGGACAAGGGGCAGGAGGGAAGTTGGCTTTTCAGCCTACCATTTAGCAGCTGCCCCTGTGGTTAAACTGCTCAACAGTTGCTAAAGAGCCTAAGGTTAGCCAGGAAACAGATGTCTGGCTCAATAAAGGGGCCATGAAACCACATCTTTCTCTTGCACTGCTTCTCTTTGCCCTGAGTTCCTGAACTGCCAGCTCAGATCAGCCCTCTGCCCAGCCAGCTCCAGCTCCCGAAGCCAGCAGACTCCTTTTCTAGGGATTAGGAATAGCCCCAAAATCTCTGAGATGCCATCGTCAAGGCATGCAGGCTGGTGAAGCAGGCCCTTAATTCCCACCCCACCCCAATGTAGCAGGTGGAAGAACTTACCCATTGCATTGCTATTCAGGAGGAAAACACCATGAGCAGCTCCTCCTTCCTCCATCAGCAGGTAAAATGGGTGAACTCCATAAAGGTTGTAAAATTGCTGCAAGCAAAAATTATCTGATAAGAGACTTGTTTTCAATTTGCCAGGGTCACCCGAAGAAGGTGGAATGGGGAACAAGAGAGGTGTCTAAGAAAGGAGAACTAAGAGCCATGAGGAGCAGCTGATGGACGCCTTTGGGGCCCTCTTGGCTCAGCCTGAGTTAGGCGTTGGCTAGGCATGTCCATTCTGGTCAGCAATACATAGGACAGTTGTGATCTGCCTGGAGAGAGGGCGACAACGGGCAGCCAGGATCATTCAGAGCTGGCACCTGAAGGCCAAAGGATCTTGGCATATTCTCAGCAGAGATGAGTTAATGCAAGCTACGGTAACTGAAGGGTTTGGTGATGGAGTGGGATAGGATGAGCTCCAAAGGGCTGTCTAGAAGGCATCTAAAAGCAAGGGAATTCAGCATAAGGAAAGCTGCCAGGCACAACCACTATACTTCCTCTCAAAGCAACAAAGATATAAACGGCTTCTGTGTGAGCCTGTGGCAACCTATTTCCTAAATCTGTGTATGGGACACCCTCACCTTTACATGGGGAGGCGGGGGATGTAGGACACAAGGATAAAATGGGGAGAGAGAAACCCAAAGGGAAAGGATGTTTCCTTCCTATGTGACCCAAGTTTGCTAGGTCTCAGCTCCAGTCCCAATGGCCCGTGTCCCACACGAAGAGGAACTCTGCTCCGCTGGGGAGTCTATTAGCACAGACCCCAGACTGAGCTGGTGAGGTGCTTCAAGAGCTGGAGGGATTTGAGAGTCACTGAGTGGAGAGGTCACCTTTGAACCTGATCCGAGATAAGGAAGATTTCATATCCCAGCATGGAACCCTACCCAGCAGGCCCGTCCCAAAACCCTTTAGGTTAAAACAGAGAGGGGCAGGGTGAAGTTCATGGACTGACGGCTTCCTTTGGATGCTAAAGACTTAGCAGACACCATAACATTCGTCGCCTGCTCATGTCTCACTGTTATTCGGGGTCTAAAACACTCAGCAGAGCTCTGTCATCCTCAGAGAATCACCCAGCTCTGTGGAAGGAGCTGCCAGTAGCCAGACTCCACCCATCACATTCCCGAGGGAGCTGGAAAGCAGTAAAACCTTTGTGTATCAGTGAGGCACGGAGCCATCCCCAGAGAGGAGTTATCAGCTCAAGAGGAGAGCAGATGGACTGCCACCCCAGCCCAGAAGGAGACTCACTGCACCAGAGTGCAAGGAGGTCAGAGGTGCCGGTGTGTCTGATGCCAGGCTCTGAGAAGGGCCATGGAAGAAAGCAAATGCAGTTCGTATAGGTCTGAGGCTAAGGCAGCTATGCAGGTTGGACCTATTACATTGAGGGGAACCTTTGATAGCCAACAGCAGAGTTGAAATAGCAAGACTCCAGCCCAGCATGCATCCCCAAGGGGACAATGGTACCATAGGAGGGACATCCCGGGCCCACAGCGTCAGGGTGCTCCAGTCCAGGCTGTGCAGGAAGTGGCTCCGATGCTCCCCGAGGCCGTAGAGGAATATGGAAGGGAGGACGGTCGAAATCTGGAGAAACTGGTCAGCAAAGATCAAGGGAGCCACGGTTGTGTTTAACCTGGAGGGTGGAGGGAGGGGGGTGAGAGAAGATACAAAGGTAGGCAAGAAAGAGGGTGAGGAATAGAGCAAGAGAGGACAATAGCCAGTCTGCTCCTCTGCTCTGCTACTAGAAAATCATGACATCTTCCTTCCAGGATCTCCAACTAGTTATCACCCACCCCAGCGCAGACACCGAGACTGTTACAAACTCCATGGCTCAGCAATTTGAATGAACACTCATATCCCAACCAAATGCAGGGCCAGGGCGTGACCCAGCCCTGGGGCACTGACAGATTCTGCAGGCCTCTGGGCAACGTGTGGAAGGGGAGGGCAGCTTTACACACCTAGAAGGGGCGGGGTCTCAAGGAGTGTTCCCTCTAAGCCGAGGGGCAGTCCAGCTTCACAGGTGATTCGTCAGCCCTGCCCTACATACTTACACCAGGATGGCATTTGGCCCTTCCCTCAGGAAATCCCAAGTGTGTGTGAAAAGAGCCAAATTTACAGCCCTCACACTGATTTCTTCCCCAGAGCATCCGGCCCCAGTTCAAATCTGCACCCCATAGGCCATCTGGTGTGCAGCGTAAAAAAAAAAAAAAAAAAAACACAACCCACTTAACACTTACACAATGCTTTGCTTTTGGAAGGCACCGTACAATCACTAAGACATGAATAGGTTGCGCAAATAAACACACTGTAAATGCAGGACGGACTCTTCTCCGTGCTCAGCTGCATCAAGACCACATTGACCAAGATCCCGGAGACAAGCCTGCCTTCTTTCTACGCAGGCCCAGGAAGTTATGTGCTCTTCTCTAGGTTCTTATGCAGAACCCATCCTCATGGTAGCTGAAACCTCAGCTCTTGGGAAAGCAGGAAGAGGGAGAATAGCTGTCTCCCCCAGCCTAGAGGGCATGCTGACACAGCAAAGTTCATGCTTTTCCTGCCCATGCTTTTCCCAGGTGAATTAACCAAGCAGGTGCTAGACTTGGGTTTAGGAAAGGGAAGAGATAGTTCCCTCCTCCCCCACAGCCTCAGCTCTGTGGTGCACCCCGCCCCCCACCTTAGTGGAGCCAATGACTGGGGTCAGCTGCTAAGGTTGGAGAGGGAGGCAAGGAGGGAGAACTCTTACAGCACGGCGCCAGAGGCTCTGCGCCTCAGCAGCAGGCCAAAAGGCTCCTTGGAGAACTCCAGGCTGTATATGGGATTCTCTGCTCTCTTCGTTGCCCGAGGAACCTCCAGGGGGACTTCGTACCGGGGGCTGGTGGAATCAGTGATCTACAAATGGGAGAAAACGAGCCTTAGAAACAGCAAAGCAGGAGGCAAAGGAGTGTTGAACTGGCTCAGAGGGGCAACCCAGCAGCAAGCTAAACTCAGCAACGTGCCAACAAGAATGAATGTCCAGGATGGGGCTGCCATGTCTGGCTTGACACGATGGGATCCTAGACAGAGACAAGACATGGGTTCTATTGCAGGTCAGGGGCTGTTGTCAGCCAGCAGAGCCAGAGGATTTAGTTAGCCAGACTGGGAGGCTCCACCTGGGAGCTTTGTCCAGGCTTCCCTAGGCATGGAGGCCTTGACAGGAAGGGACACGGACTAGAGAAGACAGCTCACCTTGATGTGTAACCGAGTGTCCGTTTCAAACTCCACGCTCAGTTGCAGTCTCTCAATGTCTCTGGGATAATAGGCTTTCACCTTCCTCCTCAGCAAACCCACCATTCCCAGCTCAGTCTGGTTCAGGCTCTCCAAAGTGTAGCTGGGAAAGTCAGGGGGGTAAAAGCACCAAGGCTTGGTGCTCCTGTTCCCCCTAGGCTGGACGCGTTCAATAAAACAGCACCCCCTGCTCTCACACAGCTCTTTTGTCACCACCACGCTCCACTCCGGGTAGCAGTCAAAGCGGAAAGGCTCCGGAACAGCACTGCATTTCTCTGGGGGGGTCTGTCCAAGCTGGTCCCCAGGCACCTGTTTGAGCATCCACAGGGTGACTCCACTCAACAGAACAGCCACCATCAGCAAGCCAACACACAGCCACCAAGTGGACAACTGCCGATGGTACGGTGGCTTCCTAGCAATGCTTTCTTCTTCGGCATAGGCATCTGGAGGCTGGGGAAGGTCCGTTGCCAGCTTTTGGTAGGACTTCATCTTCCCTGAGCTAAAAGGAGGGAAGGGAATAAAGCACCAAATGAAGAAATTGGCAGAGAAAATCCCACCCTATAGCTGGGTAGATCCTTCCACAGGAGAAAAATCCTCCCACAGAATAAGGCGTATCAGACTACGCCACAGCCCCGAGGTGGAATTTCCCTGTCTTGTCTTGCTGCCTGGCCACTGGTTTTCGCAATAGTGTCAGTGAAACATGCAATCACTGCAGTAGTGGTCCTTGGACCCTTTGCATAATACTTGCCTTGTGCAGACTCTGGAGACAGGTAGAAGGTGGAAAAGAGGACCTGCCATACTTGATGTGCTGCTCAGTCCTCTGCCTAACATAGGACTGGGCCATGCACAGTTTTGTGGGGTTGGCAGAATCTGCCAACAGCTGCAGTTGACGTCTGCATTCTCCCTGAGCACCTAGGGGGAGGCAGCACACTCCCAGCAGCAGAGGTAGCTAGCCCCTTGCACAAGCTGAGAGACCAAGGCCTGAGAAGTAGCCTGGGAACACACAGTGGTGGGGGGAAGGTGCACACAGAAGCCTTTCTAAGGGTGTTGCAGTTGCCACTCCAGTGTGCACTCTCCAAAAGTACTCTGGCTATTTCTGAGTTTAGGAAGCCATGATGTTTCCAAGACCTGTCACATGGGCTGAGCCCTCCTCCACCCACCTGATCATAGCTGTGGCTTTATGAGCCACATGGGATCCTGGGGAGTGCTCAGCATGCTTGGCTCTTGTTGAAAACAGTTGGCGTTGGAGATCTGCAGCTCCCTGGATCACTGGACCTTTCAGTGTAAAATCTTTAGTGCAGGGAACATGCTGTAGCCTCCCACCTATTACAAATGACTAAGGAACTAGTTTGGAAATCTCTCTTGCAACCACCTCTGGGGCCCTCCTGCAAACAAAGGGCATTTCTGAGCTGCTCCTCTGCCCCTGCAGGAAAGAATCTCCCAGTACAAATCATAGAAACATAGAATACTAGAACTGGAAGGGACCTCGAGAGATCATCGAGTCCAGGACCAAGAACCATCTAGATCATCCCTGATAGATGTGTATCCAACTTGCTCTTAAATATCTCCAGAGATGGAGATTCCACAACCTCCCTAGGCAATTTATTCCAGTGTTTAACCACCCTGACAGTTAATGTCCAACCTAATGTCCAGCCTAAACCTCCCTCGCTGCAGTGTAAGCCCATTGCTTCTTGCCCTATCATCAAAGATCAAGGAGAACAATTTTCCCCCCTCCTCCCTGTGATTCCCTTTTAGATACCTGAAAACCGCTATCATGTCCCATCTCAGTCTTCTCTTTTCCAAACTAAACAAGCCCAATTCCTTCAGCCTTTCCTCATAGCTCATGCTTTCTAGACCTTTAGTCATTTTTGTTGCTCTTCTCCAGTTTCTCCACAACTTTCCTGAAATGTGGTGCCCAGAACTGGACACAATACTCCAGTTAAGGCCTAATCAGTGCAGAGTAGAGCAGAAGAATGACTTCTCATGTCTTGCTCACAACACTCCTGCTAATGCATCCCAGAATCATGTTTGCTTTTTTGCAACAGTGTCACACTGTTTACTCATACCTAGCTTGTGATCCTGTGACCCTTAGATCCCTTTTTGTAGTACTCCTTCCTAGACAGTCACTTACCATTCTGTATGTGTGAAACAGATTGTTCCTTAGCAATAAACCTGGCCTGGCACCTTCAATCCTGATCAGGTTTGTGGTCTTTGGGGGCTCTCTTGGGGTCTGCTGTAGAGACTAAGTACACAAGTCAACACAGCACACATCACTGAGCACACACACAAGCAGCTTTCTGGTTATCATCATCAACACAGTCAGAGACCTGTGAGGACACCTCGGCAGTAAACCCTGACCACCGTCCCTGCATAACTACACTGGTGACCCAGATCTCTGATCTGGTAAGCAAGCGAGCTATCCTCTGTAGGAATCGCGATCTAACATGACAGAAAGCCACGAGCTACGGAACCCCCTTCTCCACTCCCTAAATATCCTCACACAATGCAATAAGTTATGGACATACATATCCTCACACAATGCAATAAGGTATGGACATACAGTGTTACTAGCAAAAAAGATCCATATGAATTTAAAATATGTAGAGGAGCAGAAACAAGTAATGTAATTTGTAAGGCTAGGGCATAGACTATAGCCTTGAAATGCAAAATATGGCGAAGTGTAATTATGACTGTTAAATGGTTAAGAGAACATGCCAGAAAACTGGTGGGGCAAGTAACAGAAACAAAGAAAGAGTTAAAAGCAGGAAAAGACATAATAGAGTCCTGGAATGCTTCCGCTCCTCTCGTGGGGCAGCAAGCAATCCAGAGATAGCAATCACGGGAACAGAATAAAACAGTGGAAACACCCGTAAGAAACCTACAAAATAGACAAGTGCCATCTTCTGTTATAAATATTGGTGGTCAACAGCAGGCTTCAGGTAGTTACCCTGTTCCTGAAGAATGGGGACAGAAATAAAAAAAGGTGGCCCTGGCAAAATTAAAAGATGAGCCGGGGTCCACTGCTTTGCAACCACAATCATATGCTAAAAACTAGGTTCCAGTCAAACTAAAACCTAGACTGGTGCCTGTCAGAACAGGACAAGTGCGTGCCCAGGATGAAGTAGCAAACAGTACTGTCCCAGGATTGGTCAATCAAATAAAGGAAAACATGGAGGCTACGTCTACACTGGCCCCTTTTCCGGAAGGGGCATGTAAATTTCACCAGTCGTCGTAGGGAAATCCGCGGGGGATTTAAATATCCCCCGCGGCATTTAAATAAAAATGTCCGCCGCTTTTTTCCGGCTTTTAAAAAAGCCGGAAAAGAGCGTCTACACTGGCCCCGATCCTCCGGAAAAAGCGCCCTTTTCCGGAGGCTCTTATTCCTACTTCAAAGTATACTACACTTCACTACATGGGGGCTACGTCTACACTGGCCCCTTTTCCGGAAGGGGCATGTAAATTTCACCTTTCGTAGCTCTTATTCCTACTTTATTCCTTCGAAGTAGGAATAAGAGCCTCCGGAAAAGGGCGCTTTTTCCGGAGGATCGGGGCCAGTGTAGACGCTCTTTTCCGGCTTTTTTAAAAGCCGGAAAAAAGCGGCGGACATTTTTATTTAAATGCCGCGGGGGATATTTAAATCCCCCGCGCATTTCCCTACGACGACTGGTGAAATTTACATGCCCCTTCCGGAAAAGGGGCCAGTGTAGACGAGCCCGGACTGTTTCACAGAGTAAATTAGGAGACGGGAGCTGCAACTTAATTGCAGGGGAGTGAATGAAAAAGCATCTGAAAGTGAAAAGCCAAGATTAAGCAGGTTAACACTTAGAATTGTTGTATTAACACGTGGAGTTGCCCCAAAACAGTTAACTGCAGCATGTAAGCACACTCCTGCAAGCCATCTGACATGCAGACAAAAGCAATAGGCAGTGGGGGACCAAATTCAGCTTTACAAGAGCAGGTAACTACCCCCCCCCTCCTCGCAGAGCCAGGATAAAAACTCCAGGTGTAAATTCCCAACTGTTTTGACCCACCAAACCGCACTCCATGCTCGGCTAAAAATATATCCTCCTTTTCTTTTATAGTCTTTCTCCATTTACTAAATTTACTTCTGCCCCCTGTGCCTTAAAACAACTTCGAAAGTTTCTCTCTCTTTGCTCAGGTCTCACTACCTTAATTGCTCTTCTCCATCTTTCCCCCGCCTCTTCTTATTTTGACTCTCTTTCTGTGTTAAAAATTAAAGTTATGGTTTTTACAGAAACCTCAAAAAGTCAAAGCAATGGAAAACAAAACAGATTGAAAACGATTTTTAAAAAGTAAAAACTTTACTTCAAATAAATCCAGTAATTATTTTAACCCTTCAGGAGTGCAACAGCTGGAATTACTCCTAACTTTCTTGAAGGTATGGTTGCTAAGCAACAGACATGCCCACCCTGCTTCTAATCGTAATCACTGACTAATATTTGAAACATTGGCTTTTCTTATTTCAATAGAGCAGAGTTTTAAAACAAAGTTTAATATAAAGTAATGAAAAATGCTTTAAGTTACTAAATAAACAGAACAAATGTGGCATATTTGAGTATAAATCTGTATCATTTTGATCAAAAAATTTAAATAAGATAAAAACTTGCTCATTTAAATGTTTAACCCTTTTGTTCAATTTTTTATTTTGTATAGTTATGAATAGAATTCTGGCGCCATTTGGGTTTAGTTGTAAGTTCTGTGTCACGTGACTTTTTTAAATTACTTTTATTTTGTTGAAACAAAAGTCAATTTTATAGTTTTTTTTAAAGTGGTACCACAGTATTTTATTATTATTTTGGGGTATAATTATATTAACACCACATTTTTTTTTTTGCAAAGTTCAAAAAGGCCTCAATTACAAATATATATACATATATATTGCCTCAACAAATAATGCAATTGCAAACAAAAAGAATCCTCTTATTAATCACAATTTTATTTTTAAATTTTTAATAAGAAAATGCAAGAGAAAGCTCAACATTAAGGTTAAGGTAATATTAACAAAATGTCAATTTCTTCTTGGGTTTTTTATAAACTTGTTTTTACTTTTAAATATAGTTTTAGGAATGGCAAAGCAATAATGTTAAAAATAATCATTTATGAATAAAGTTAACCAAACAATTTCAATAGATTTCCATCTTGGCTTTCTAAGCACAACAAAGCATCAAGAAAGTTAGCAAAAAACTGTATTTAAACATTTATTTTGGTCTAACTGTATACTTAGTTTAATTTTATATAATTTGTTACATTATGTCAAAGGGAAGTAGTTGTTAGTGTTTGTGCTTTTAAACAGTTAACAGAAGTGAAATTGGTATCGCGAGCAAATTAAAAAGCTTGGTAAAAATTATGTTACTAACTCCTTTGCTCAGACAGTGTTCAGCAAGGGAAAGCAACACACCTTCACTTGGAAGATTCTAAGTATCTATTTTAGCAGTAAAGCATTATGTTTGGTATCCCTCAAGTGAAAATCAATGTTTA